ACTACCCCAGAAACAGCTGGATTAATAAAAGCAAATCAAGTCTGCACTGGTGGCTCATGCCTGGAATCATAGCTAGTCAGGAGGCTGAGATCTGATGATCACAATTTAAAGTCAGTTGGGCAGAAAAATTCTGTGAGATTCTCATCTCCAAAAAACATCAGAACTGGCAATGTGGCTCAAGTAGTAGAGTGCTAGCCTTGAGAAAAGAATCTCAGGGACAACACCCTGGCCCTGAGTTCAAGCTCCAGGACTGGTACACACACACACACACACACACACACACACACACACACAATAGTTACTGCATTCAAACTGTTTGTATCATTTCAATGCAACTCCAAAACTTTTCTCAAGTGTCCAGTCTTCTATTTTTCTGGTTGTTGGACCCTCAACAATGAAAAGCATCACAATCTGAAAAAAATTAAAACTACTTTTAAAGGAGTGGAATTTTTAAAAATATGATTTTGTTAGGAAAATTGAGAAAGGAATTTATAAGAATTTTTCACAGTTCCTTTGCTTGACAAAAGAGAAGTAGGTCCATGTTTCATAGAAACCAGGCAAGCTTCAGGCTGTAGCAGTGGCTTGGCTTCCAGGTGTCTTGTGCCCTTCTAAGTCCAAGTTCTTTATTCCCTATCTAAGGATTCTTCTTTCTCTCTGCACACCTTCTATGAAGTGTTTTAACACATTCTTATAACGCTTATAAATTCCAAATCCTCTCCTTAGTTGTTCTTGTGATAACTTCGTTTTATCATATGCATACAAAGGAGATTTCATTGTGATATCTCCACATACATGTATCAAAATAAGTATCACAATCAAGTACCTCCCTTTATTATAATGTATCCCCGATCCCACTCCCCTTCTTTAAACAATTTCAACAGGTTTCACTGTCTTATTTTCATACATGCAAATAGACCTGTATATCCCTATTTATCCTCTTGTCTGCCCTTGCCCATCCTCAGATGGTGGGCAGACCAACCTACCACCTGAGCCTGCTTTATTTTCCTATCATTCTTTTTTTTAAGTATATACTGATTGAACCAAGAGGTGTCATTATATATGAGATGTGCATATATTATACTTGCTCAGAATAACTTCTCTATTGCTTTCTTTCTACCCGCATTCCCCAACCCTCTCTTAATCAACAAAGTTCATTGAGGTTCCTTATGCCATGTTCATAGTGCTGCACTTTAAAATTACTCATCATCCATCTTTGATTACCTTCCGTTGTTAGAATCATGATCCATATTTGTGTATGTATTCATGTGTATGTGTGTGAATATGTACTCTAAATATATATTGCTATGAAGAGGTATTTTTAGGTCTAGCTTCCATATATGAATGAAAACATACATTTGGCATATCTAGATCCATCTAGCTATCTATAAGCTCATCTTATTTATTCATCTGTTGTTGGACACCTTGGCTGATTCCATAATTTGGCTATCATGAACATTGCTACAATAAACCAGTATGCAAGTGTCTTCTTAGTACAATGATTTACTCTTCTGCAGACATGGGCCATAAAGCAGTATGGTAGGTCGTAAGGAAGGTCTACTTTTAATCTTTTGAGGAACCTCCATACTGATTTCCATGATGGTTTCACTAGTTTACATTCCCATCAGAAGCATATGAAGGTTGAACCTTTCTCCCTGCCTCTTCTCCTACTTATTTCAACTCCCTACTCTGTCATCTTCCTAACTCTCTGTTTGTAAGGTCATGACATGATGGACACTAGTCATGTACTAAGGCCACATTGTTTTCCTTTTACTTCATTCTCTAAGCCTACTTCCATTTCTCCACGAATGGCAGAATTATACACCCAGAAAACATGAGCCAGAACCTGGAAGTAAATAACACTCTCTTTTTCTCCCAATCCAAGTTTTACTGACCGCTCTTCTAAATCTTCAGGAGTCAGATCCATCCTTCCACGTTACCATTCTGTTTCAGGATCACAGCATCTTTTACCTATCCCATTCCAAAACTGTAAATCCACCACTCAGATATGCTAAGGCAGTTGGGTATGTTGTCTAGAAGTCAAAGAGAATACACAGAATGGAGAGTATCCAGAATTGGCATGCAAGAGAGGAGGTTTGTTAAAACTTACTAATACCTCTGTATGATATTTTCACAATAAAAAAAACTTACTAACAAGGGAAGGTGACAAGTTGATACAGAGTGGTCATCAGACCAACAATAGCACTTTACCAGAAAGCCTGTGGTGACAGGCTGGGCAAGCAGCACCTGTCTTTCATGATCCTTCACCTGAAAGTGGTACACCTATCTCTCACAGTGCTCCTTTACTGCCAAAAGTTCTACCAGTGCTCATTCTGCCCACAGTCTGCTAAGGTCCAGAGGCAGTCAGGTAGACCAATAGTACCTTTCTTTACAATGCAACTTTAGACATACCAGACCACCACATGCTGAAGAAGCAATGACATCCTTAGCTTCCTAGCTTGCCTTTTCCTTTGTCTGGCATTGCAAAGACTAAATGGCTTTAGGATATGTGCAAGGAGCAGGCTCTCTTCTAGATAACATCCATTTGTCTCAGTTCTCAGTATATATGAGAAGAGTCAATGGTCTTGTAGATATTGTTTATCTAAATGTTTTATTTTTGGCCCACTTATCCCACTTCTATTGTTTCCATGGATTGTCTAGAACCTTGAGAAGGGGTATTTTAGGGAAATGACACTTAATGTCTTACTTTTCTCAAGGATCATACAAAGATATTCCTCTAATGACTTCCTTTCTTTAGCCTTGGCCAGCTCCCACCCCTTCTCCACGTGGTGGCCATAGTGGGTTTCTAGAAAAGGCAAATACGATCACATCAATCACCCTGCTGAATATGATTACCCTGACAGCCTTTGGATTGGAAGAAGCATGATTTGACATCCTATGTTTTTATATGTTCTCCTACCAGATTATCCATCCTCAGCTCAGACTGTTCTGCGAATCATACTAATTTTTCAGTAATTCTAAGCAGTGACCATTTCTATAATCCTTGCTGTTACCAAATGCATGACCTTTTGTCCAGTGTTTTGTTCGCCTACATAAAACATCTTTTCCCCTTCAAGAATTCCCCCAAAGACTCAACTCAATGTTTACTTCCTTCAGAAATCTTTTAGAGCTCCCTAGGTTCCTAACATATCACATGAGCCCCACCATTTTTGAAACTAGTTAGGAGGAACCAACTCTCTGCACTTGACAGATCCTTCTTAGAGCAGAAAACTAAAGGGCATAATGGGATCTTTTAGATCCAGACCCAGAGGTTTTATATCCTGTCTCCACCACATCAGTGACTAGCCAATTGACAAGCTATTTAGACTCTTTCTGAGCCCTAGTTTCTTTATCCTTTGCAAGCTGATAATAACATTGAATTCAATGACTAATTATCGGAATCAAATGAGCTGAGACCTGAAGAAAGAAGAATCAGACATGCAGAGCCTTTGGGGGATGCACTTTTCAGGAGCAGGGAAGAGAGAGTACAAAGGCCCCTGGTGATAAAACATGGGATGCTGAATAATTTATAGGCAACAGCTCCATCCCTGCTGCAGCATTCGCGCAGCCGAGCACTCTAGTTGCTCAGAGAAAATGGCCAAAGCCCCAGAGTTAACACATGGTGTTCGGCAGAACCTCATTAGCTGAGATCTGCTTCATTTCTCCTGCCCCATTTGGATTCATTCCAGACACCACTATCAGTGCAAGCCTCAGGTGAAACGTTAAAGTTCTCCAAAGTGGTTAAAGGGCTACACCGGCAAGGACCCAAGAGATGAGATGAATGCTGAGTGTCTGGATCTGGCAGAAGACTCTGGATTGAGGGCATTATCCAAGATGGCGCCCCTCCGGATGGGTGCAGCAAAGCACGTTGGTTCAGTGAATGTGGCCTTCTTGTCAGGCTTGACGGCAGCTTGCTTTCAGCATGAGATACAGTTGCCAAATGAACAGAAACCCGCTTCTAAACTGTTCTTTATGTTCTAACAAAAATAAAATGATTTATGAGTTTGTCAGAGAACGGATGTTGCCATTTGAAAAGAAAAATTCCTCTGTTTCACAGTATCATGAATTGCAAATGGACCAGTGGGTGATAGAGACGTGTGTGGTGTGTGTGTGTGTGTGTGTACGTGTGTACACACATGTGTCTCAGCACTCGTCCCCCTTCCCCTCTGCCTCTGCGGTTTGGAAGTCAACTGCACAGTGTGCCGTCACTGCAAGCAAATTGTAATTATAATGCCCAACAGTCATTTCTAAGACAAACTGAATCTGTGTTCCATTAAAGTCATGGAATAGTTAAACAGTATTTTTTTAAAAATTCCCAAACCTAATAAAAAACAGGCTCCTCCATTCGATCTGATGTTCCAGAAGCCAGAGGATTCCACATAGTCCCTTCCCTTCTATGATAGTGGGGAATGGATTGTGATGGACCAGGCAGGCAGCGGGAGGTCAGCCTTGTGGTGCACACTGTGGTTGGCCAGCAGCTGTGTGGAAGTCCCAAAGTGGTAATCGATTTCCTCCTAAGACACGGAACCTGCTTGCCAGCTACCAAGAGGAACATCTACTATCCCCGGGGCCAGATCCTTTGCGATCTTTGGAGTTAGAGAAATAAGAGCTGTACTTTGTTTCAAACAGCAGAGGAGGAAATGCAGGGCTGGCTTCAAAGGGAATCATAGTGTGAGCAGCTTTCTGTTCATTAGTTTCTAAGAGATGTTGGAAGGAATGAATAATGTGTGTGTGTGTGTGTGTGTGTGTGTGTGTGTGTGTGTGTGTGTGTGTGAAATTGTCTTTGAAATGAACCCTTCCTTCACATTCATCAGCAATTTTGTGCAAGTGCTGCAAATATGTGTGCCTTTGGGAGGCATTTTGATGCTAAATGTAACACTTTAAAGAATATTTGGATTAATTTTTTTAAGCCAGTCAGTGCTCTGTGGCCGTCTACTTCCTACACAAAGCTTAACTTCCGTCCAACATCTGCACTCTCGTCAACACTTTGCCAGAATGCTGAAAAGTACTGGGGGATTTTAAATTGCAGTTTTAAACAGCATAATCTTGGAGACTAAAACTCCAGTTCTTCAGTGAGCCGATTGATCCTCATCCTACAACTAGAGTAGGGGATGCTGTGAGGTAAATTTGATGTTTATCAATTATGCTGTTTCTTTTCTTGAAGTGATTGTTCATAACTATTGTTGATACGTTGTTGTTGTGACTCAGCTGGCCTTAGACTGTGATCCTACAGATCTCTATGTCCCAAGTGACAGGATTACAGATATGAGCCACAGGTACTCTATTTTTTTCTAATTATTATTTCTGATACCAAGGAGTATTTATATTCTCGATACTAAAATTTATATTCATTTTGGAGGTTTATAGTTTTGCATTTAGATTTTAAATCAAATTGAATATGATTTTGTGTTTGATCAAACATTATTTTATGTAAATGGCCAATTGTTGCAACTGTATTTGTTAAGTAACCCATCCTCACCCTTCCCACATTTATTGATAAAAAGTTCTATGTATATAAAAAAAAAACTTATGATAGCTGAGCATGAGGTACACATAGAAAAACAAAACAGGTAAATAAAAGTAATTTGGTTCTTTTGGACTATTTATCCAGTCTTAATCCTATATTACATTTTAAAATTAGTGTATATATTTGTTAAAAGAGGCATTATATTTAGCAAAGATAATCCTTCTAATTATCCTTTGAAAATAACTTCTCATGTTGGTCTCTTGCTTCTACATAAGTTATAGAATCTGCATGATAAGTTCCAGAGAAGAAAATCCTCATATTTAGTTTAAAATTTTAGTATAAATTCCATTGCATGTATCAATTAATTTTTATAATCTTGACACTTTTAACATACTGAGCCATTGTTATTTATGTCTGTACCTCTGTGTTTATGTAGTAATTCTTTATATTGCTATAGGTTAATAATTTCTGTGCATAAACTTTCTTATCTACAGTTATTGAAACTTTTGGGGGGAGACTACACTAAACGGTTAACTTTTAAAATTATTTTCTTATGTGTTAGTTTTGTTTGGAAAGGTATTTTTTAAAATATATTGTTAACAAATAATATTAAATATAATAATATAGTTTCTGTTTAAAGAAATAAGAAAAGTGGGAACGATACAAAGCATAAAATAAGATGCCAGAAATAAAACTAAGTTATTATAACAAATACAAGTCACTAAGTTCCCTATAAAGTGTCAGAGACTGACTAATGTAATAAAAAGGAATTTAATATCAGCTATTTGTCCTTTGCAGAGGAAATTCTGAAAATACAAAGAAAGAGTATGATGATGACTGAAAAATTTTAAAAATGGGAATATGTTATAGCATTTTTGTGATATAGCATATAGATATTTGGACCATGTTAACTGAAATGAAAACCATGTACTTATATGGATAATAAAATTAAGTAGCCAAGAGCCTTCTCCACTATAAAAATTTACTCCATCGTGATATAAATTTGAATTATCTTCAAAATCTCACAATTTTAAGTATAAGACATGCAAAGGAAAACTAATGGTTGCTCTGTGATTCTGGTTGTCTGGGCTAGCTCAGGCCCACTGTAATGTTTGTAGGCCCAGATGGATTTTTACTTTCCTTTATCTTATTCTGGGTTCATCATGCTTTCTGAATCAGCAGCCTCAAGTCTCTATTTTGGTATATCCTATACCATGATTTCTCTAAATATCGCTTCTATACCTTCTTTAATTCTATCCTTTTTTTTTTGTAAACTTTTCTATAATTAAAATTCTACATATATTAGATTTTTGTACACATCAACTATTTCTCTTAATCTGTTCGAATTTTGTTTCTACTCACTATACTTTGGTAAATGTAATTCCTTGAGTTCTAACTTTCGGTTCATAATTTTTTTTTTGCTTTAAAACATCCTTTATAGTTTGGCAGGTAATTCATATTAAACTCTACCCTATAAAAGCTGATGAGAGGAGGAGAGAAAAGAGTAAAGATATAATTCAGACATTTTTTTTCCCTGAATTCTTACAACCCTTTGGGGATGGGAGAGGAATAGATCTTTAATGAGTAGCTACTACACGGATTTTTTTTTGTTCAGTGATTTGCACTTTTTACCTCATTTTTTTTTCTCCAGGGACAAACCCTAAGGAGGATACAAAGATTGCCTCCAAGGGATCTTCTGATTCCAAGTCTGCCTATCATTGTTGGGCATAGCTCTATTTTCTTCCAAAGTTCATATTATTTCACTTTACTTTCTGGGAATGACATAATAAACAAATACTATTTTTTAAGTGAAAATATTAGAAGGCCTTCTCCTGATTCAGCTTATATTTTGGTAATATAACTTGGCTTCCTAGTGATATCTTAAAAGAAACTTCAAAAATAATCTTCCTCTATTTTCTATCAAAGTGGTTTTATTCCAGAACTTCAAAACAGTGTAAGAGTAAACCAATTTTCAGGGTTTTATCTCATTATATTGTTGAAATGTCCTGTACCTTTGTCAGGTTTCTTATGCTTCTTCAGACTGACAACAAAAATCAGTTGCTGATCCCTGTTCCCAGGTTGAAATAACTTTTAAACAGAAAAGAATCCTAACTCCCAATTTCATTGACTCTTGTAAACTCTTCAACTTCAAAACTGACTTTTAAGTTTGGCAGTTTCTATTGCCTGCAATATAAAGGTGAGAGAAATCTAAGATTAGCCCTTCAGGTGTGAGAATAGAAAATGTAATTGATAGAATCTGGGAGATGCACATTCCAGCTCACTTCTGCAAAAGATGGGCTATACAGTTCAGGTAAAGATGTTTTCCAGACTGAAGAATATTGATGAAACAATGATAGCTATGGTGAAAATCCTTTCAAATATATGTTAATTTATGCACTTCTTATATACTCCCTATGCAGACTTGGAACACATGATCTAAATATAGAACAAAGTAAATCAAATCAGACACTCTCTGTACAACTTCTAAATCATGTTCATAAAATGCTCGTCTTCTGATAAAAAGCAAGAATGTTTCATAAAGAATCCCTTGTATCAAAATATATAATACAAATCCAATAAAATAGAATCTCATGTACAAACTACTGGAATTCAGAAATAGAATATTTCTGGAACTATACAAATTTCCCCTTTTTTTCCTTTACAACTATATTCACCCTGCTTCAGAGATAAGCACTAGAGTATCCTATAAACCATTGTGTTAATGCTACTAGGATCGTTGTTCTATTGCATCTGTTCTTAGTTTTCTCACTTGCATTTGCATCCTGAAGTCATTTATTATATTTCCCTATTAGATTTCCCTATTACTGATTCTATAGATAAAACTATACTATATTCTTCAAACTTGCAATTTTAACTCAATTTCACTTTTTTCGATTTAGTTATTGTACATAGTTAAAAAAAATTTCTAATTACTGACACCTGCATATTTCTCATAATATATATCTACATCTTATATGCAATATATTTTACATATACAGTTATATGTGTATATATACCCACTTATAACATATAATAAACATATATTTATATAAATATTACATGCATTTTCTTTATCCATTCATCTACTGCTGGGCACCAAGGTTGATTCCATAACTTCATAATTTGACTATCATAAATAATGATGCGATAAACATGAATGTGCAAATATCTCTATTATATACAGACTTTGCCTAAGAGTTGTATAACAGATCATATGTTAGTTCTATTTCTTTTTAGGAACCTCCATGCTAATTTCCACATACTAATTGCTACATGAATTTACATCTCCAGCAACAGTGCATAAGGATTTCTTTTCCCTATATCCTACTTCATAATTCCACCCAGCATTAGTTGTTTAAACAGTTATATTTAGAGACCCATTAAAAAGATATACATTTCATATTGCAACCTAATTCCCACAAAGGTTTTATTAATGAAAGAAGACTTTTTCTCAATACCTGAAATACACTTTGAAACTTATTCTATCTTCTATTTTTCCTATTTCATCCCATCCCATCTTAAAATGCCCTTTAAAATCAACTAGTTGGTTTTCTTATACATCAATAACACTTGCAATTTTGAAACACAAATTCACCTATTCCCTTTTTCCTTAGTATTTTCCCCAGATATTTTACAGATTTTGCAGCATAAGTATCTTTAGGATACCCAAATTAACATGTTACCCTTTAACATAAAGTAAAATGTTGAACTTGGGAGGCATACATATTTCACCATATTTTGCTGATACTATGAAGGCTAGTAAGATGACAATGAAAATTGCTACTATGGTGTGAGTACATGGTGATATCAGAGGTTGACTTTGGGATCTAATTTGTAGTACTCAGAGAAAACTCATCAAAAGCCAAAAATAAGACAATCATGCTTCAGACAGCCCTAAAGTTATCCAAAAGTTGGCTTAAAGTCATCCTTGATCTTTGAACATTCGATGCCAGACCAGGCAGTTAGTAAGACCTTATTTACAAACAAAATCTAAACAAAAAGGCTGGGACTGTAGCTCAAGTGGTAGAGTACTTCTCTAACAAGGTTGAGGCTCTGAGTTTGATTCCTATATCTAAAAATGTGCATATATAAATATATGTATGACTCAAACTGATTTATGTAAAAACATATACGGTAAGTTACAGATTCTCTGAGATGGGTGCAGCCCAACCTTGGATTTAAATCCAAAAAAGGGTTTGGGGATTCACTACGATCTCCTAGTTTAGAATTAGCTTAGTCTATTCTATTTTATCTAATGTTATTCTCCCAGTAACATTTTCCTTGCCTTTTAGATGCCAGACCTTCATTTGGGAACATTTAGTCTATAATCTTTAATGGCTATACCTCAAAGATGGCAAGATTGATATCTGGATGGGGCTGAACACCTTGCCTGAGATCATCAAGATAATAAATGATAAGAGGAAGCATTGACACTAGGAATCTATGGTTCTTGCATTTCCCCAGTCTTCTTCACATTCTATGGACGAAACCTAAGAAGAATTCAGAGAAAAATATGGTACTAAGAATCACTTATTTTTCCTAAAAGAAACTCATTCTTCAGAGTCCTTTGCTGTCTAAGAGAGTGGATCTTGATATATCCTTTAATAATCTAAGACAATAATTAGAAGCAAACTTTCTCCCTCAAGGAAACAGG